CAAGGGTGAATTTGAGAAATGTTCCATTGTTGTGGAAAATTGATTAAATGGTAGGAAGATAATGTTAGAAGATTTTCATTTCTCCAAAGTGGAGAAGTTAAATTGAGTAGTTTCGTTAATATGTGGGCAAGCTAAAGTATAGTGAACAAATGTCACCATAAGAATGTTAAAAGATCAAGTGATGTGGTTATCATTTGTAGAAGAGTTCAAGAATAAGTACATGAATGATAAGTTCATAAAACAAATAAGCTCGAATATATGAGCTTGAAGCAAGAGAATTATACGTGCATGTGTATGAGTATAAGTTTAATAAGTTAAGCAGATTTATTACTTAGATGATTCTGATTAAAAAGGATAGGAATGATACATGTAATTGGTTATTTAGGGCTTGCGCATTAAATTAAAAGAGTGTTATTGGTTTCGAATTTATTCTAATTTAACGAAATGGTTAATTACGTTAAAGCTTTAGAGAAAGCTCAGAATGAAAGGATTGGAGAATAAATCTCTCAGATGATTAAGAGAATTAATGCTTTATAGAGTTAAGAACCATCAAAGAATGGTAGAGATTCTGGTTTTCAACTGTAAACAAGATATGAATTAGTTGTATTCTCCGTCAGAGAATCGAATTAGATGAGAGTCAGTCAAACTAAAGCAGTAGGGTATGATATTGGAAGATTAATCAATGAGTTAATTGATAATAAGTCAGGGTTAAAGACAACCTTTGTGAATTGGGTTAAAAGCCCTGTTAGGAGTTATGTAAATCGAAGCAGAAAAAGTATTTGAAATGGATTAGATGAGTATTGAAATCTGGTGATTATTGAAACAAGTGGGGAAAACATAAGTATAAGAATGATAAAGAATAAGGTTTTGTGCAAGTAAAGTTGATTATCAAAGTTATGAAAAGATATAGTTTAGTTATGTTATAAGAAGATTTTGATAATGAAAGGCTTAAAAATGATAAAGGATTATAAGGAAGTGAAGATTATAAGTTTGATTAGAAGTAAGAAAAGTAAGTAATGTTATATAAAGAGATTATGTGTATCGTAATACATACAAGGATGAAAGAATGAGTAAAAGTTTGGATTGCGGTGAATTAATTAGGAAATGAGGAAAGAAATCAATTGATGAATTTTTGATGTTGAGTGATAAGAATTGATGTTACTGTCTACAGGATAAGTAACATTATATGAATGAAATCAGAGTTATGAATTTGAAACAAAGGGATATTATTGTGTATAAGAAAAAGTGTGGAGATGATAAGGATTTGTACTTTAGAATGAAAGAGTTAGCGTTGACTAACAAGATTTTGTGATGAAATTGTATTGGATATAGTTGTATATTTTGATTTCGTAAATGTGATATAGTGAATGAAGTGAGGATTCGTATGGAAGTGTAAATGATAAGTTCGATATAGAAACACGAAAAGTGTGCAAGGTGATGTGAAAAATATTGTTTGACTCCTTAAAGTATATGTTTAATCACAATTGAAGAAGATTTAAAGTTGTGTTTTGGTCAAATGATGACGAAATACAAGTTTGGTATGGTTATAAGGTAATTAGAGAGTTATGAAGAAATAGATGGATTTATGATATAGAGTGATGAGATGGATGTTACTGTCAACGTGATGAGTGACATTATATGGAATTTTAGAAAGGTCAAAGGAAAAATGCATAATCGAATGAGAGAAAAGACAACAATGGATTGGTATTACTGGTTATTGTTTATATGATAAGCAACAGAAGATGAATGTATAAACGAAAAAGATAGTTGGAAAACTAAAGGATTGAAAAGTAAGTTTCTGATGATGACAAGAAAGAATAAGTCAGGGAAGCAACATAAGAACATTAGAAGATATGTTCCTATTAAGATGTGCAGTGAAAATTCGAGGACGAATTTTCTTATAAGGAGGGGAGATTTGTAACATCCCAAACTACGGGTTAGTGACCAAATTGTAAAATTTCAGAATTTGATGATAAAAGTAGAATACTTGAATAGTTCAATGATTTATTTGAGGATATTTCCTGAAAGTTTTAGTAATTATCCAATGAATTAAAGGGCAAATGGTCAATTGACATTAAAGATATTTTTATCCCCTTTAATAGGAGATAAAAACGTGGGAGATGAATGCATTTTATCTTCTTCTTCATTTCTTCTTCTTCTCCAACCATGGAAGACTAAGCAAAGGTGAGTTTTCTCTTGAGCTGATTATGTGCTGAAATTTAAGTTTAGTTTTGATTATTAGATGCTAAGTAAGATTAAGGAAAGATTTATTTGCTTTAAAACAACAAAATGAAGAGTTTATGAGGATTTAAAGATTGGAAGTTTTTGAATGAAATATCGAAATAAAGTTTATATTGAGAATTAGAAGTTGAATTTGACTTGTCATCAAGTCAATTAAGGGATAGGAAGTGTTAGAATAGGAATTTGAACATGTTGCAAAACTAGTATAATTTTTGCAATTGCATAGGAATGACTAGATTTGAAGTTAAAGAAGTGATTAGTGAATAGAAATAAGTTTAAGTATGTGTATTAAAGTTAGGAGTATTAAAAGAAGTGAAATAGGATGGTTTAAGCTAAAATAAGGTGATTTTCGAGCTCAAAATGGGATTTCTGGGCTAGGGGAATCGGTACCCATTCAAGGGGAATCGATTCCCCCTCAAACGAATATGAATTCCAGAATGCTAGAGGGGAATCGATACCCCCAGGGGGGGAACCGAATCCCCCATAATGAAAAAAGAAAGAAAGAAGAGAGACTAAACTATTAATCCCTTAAATTGGTAGGGTATTAGAGGTTAATTTCAAGACTTGGGCATCTGATAATCATCTTGAAAATTATGTTTATGTAGATATTAAACGTGACTTTGCTTCAAAGTAATCGACGGGTTAGAATTGATTCAATTCAAACAAGGCTAAGGTGAGTGCATATTAGTATTATATGATGTTAAATGGAAATAAGACTTGCGACAAGTCTATTTCCATAGTAAAATGCATGAATTCATAAATAGAAGTATTTATGTGTATGATTTATATGTGTTGACATGTTATTGTATATATGTATTATATGGTTGATGTGAATATGTGATTATGAATAGGTGGAAAGGAAACAAATGATGATATAAGAATCTATTATAAAATATATGATATGAAAACATGATAGTGAGCTATGTGAAAGCACTATGAGATATATGAGTTATATGGAAAATATATGCGAACAAGATATGACATCTATGTTTATATGGAACAATGCAAGGTGATATAAGCTATGTGAGATATGAATATAAAATCATATGAGAAGTGAAAAGGATTACATGAAAATAGACTAAGTGATTACATGTATATGTGAAAGAAGCTATGAGCTTATATGAATATGTGATATGAATGAAGCTATATGATATGATCTATGCGATTACATGCACATATGATATATGTTATATGAAATGACATATGAATAGACAATACGTGATACATGTGGTATGTGAAAGAAGAGAAATGACAAGTAATGTGAACTGTTAAATGATAATGCCCATGTTATGTGATATGAGAGCTAGGGGTATAGTTGGCATGCCAAGAGTCGAGGGTTTACCTATGTTCTACGGAACATATGGACAGTTTTACCTATGTCTTTCGAGACATATGGACAGTATACCTATGTTCTAAGGAACATATGGACAGTTTACCGAGGATCTTTATGACCTCTGGACAGTTACCGAGGATCTTTATGACCTCTGGATAGTTACAGGGGTCTGTGTGACCTCTGGATAGGTCCTTCGGGACATTTATATGAGCTGTGGTGATAGCATAGTGGTGCACAACCTCAATAGACTCACATATCTACAGTTCTCACAGGTGCACATGGGCTAATAAGAGATAACATGGAATGTAATGTATAAGATATATGTGATGTATATACTTAGGGTGATATGTCATGTGTTGCTTGAATTATAAGGATGTTGATAAAGATAATAATATACACGGGCAATGCAATTGGAAGACAAATGAAAAGTGAAAGTAATACAAGAAGATATGTTGCGTGTGTGTATGACATGATTATATATATATTGTTATCATGCAATAGATATATGCATATTGAGATGTCATGATTCAATGGTATGAATGCACGTTCATGAATTTATTGTTATATGTTTAATTATTGCCTCACTAAGTCAACGACTTAGCGTGTGATTGTTTCACACGTAGGTTTCGAGAAGAATAAAGAGTAATGCGGAGCAAGACAGGTCAGTTCTCCTTACCAAATGTCAGATCAGAAAATGTATGTACTGTTTACAGAGTGTAGTTGGCATGTAGTCTAAAGATATAAATGGTATGAACTCTGATATCTATTGTAAACGTTTTGAAGTAATTTAAATGTTATCAAAGTTTTAAATTACTCACTATTTTATACGAATAAATGTTTGAACAGTCAATGTGACACTTCGGACTCGTATCCGGGCGGATACGGGTTGGGGGTGTTACATTAAATGTAAGGGGAAATTACGCATTTAGTATCTAAACTATTAGTTTTTATCTTAAACTTTTAATTTTTTCAAAACCATATTTAAAGTTTAATTTTTGTTTCATTTTAGTATCTCATTCAAAGTTTAACGTTAAGTTTTGAAAAAAATTTGAAAGTCTAGGAACTAAAATGGACCAAAATTGATAGTTTAGGTACTAAACGCTTTAAATTTTTAACAACCGCGTATCAAAATGAAACAAAAGTAAATGTTAAATATGGTTTTGAAAAAATTAAAAGTTTAGGTACTAAAATAAACCAAAACTAGTAACTTTAGGTTTGCACATTCAAGCTTATTGTCATGACTTTATACTGGATAAAACTGGTCTTTTTCCTTTAGCTCTTAATTCCATACCATGTTCTATCAATATGGCAATTGGAAATAGAAAAACCTAGTTCGTTGGGACTGCATATGCTGTTAGATTAGCTCAAGTATATTTGCCGACAAATAAGTTGCCTTTATCAATTGCTTGGGAGTCGTTTTGATAGTATTCCCCTGCACCATTTTGTTGTAGCGAAATCCGGTGTTGAGCCTTCAGCTTGTGTGGAACTTGCAAAACATGTTAGTCTGAATTGCCCGAACCTTCAATTTTGTGGATTAATGACAATTGAGATGCCTGATTATACATCAACACCTGAGAATTTCAAGGTGGTTGAACTTCTTACCATGTTTTACATGTACTTTTCAATCGTTTCATTGTTTTTCTTACGACATTTCTTTGATATAGCCAGACATTAGCAAATTGCCGAAGTGAGGTCTGCAAGGCTCTTGGAATACCAGAAGAACAATGTGAACTATCAATGGGAATGTCTAGTGGCTTTGAGCTTGCTGAAAGGATTATTTTCATTTTACCATCTAGGAAAGGAAAATATTGGAGTTGTAACAAATTGGCTTTCTTTAAACTTTAGCACTAAAACATTGTGCTATGTTTGTGCCTTTGCCACATGTGCACAAAGTCATGCTATGTTAGTTGAACTCGGGTGCGTGTCAGATATGAGTATATTTAATTTTGCCTGTACCTAGAAGGAAGAAGAGTTGAACTAAAAGGGAGCTACATAATATATATAGCCTTTGTTTTTCTGATGGATTTTGCCATTGTCCTTGCAGATTGAAATGGGCAGTAGCAATATGAGAGTTGGATCAACCATCTTTGGGGAAAGGGAATATCCAAAGAAAAAAATGAAAAAGTCCAGTTGTTAAACGAGGTGTGCACATACAACACAAGCTTGGTTGATATGGTTAGATCCGAGAGAAAAAGAAATAGTGATTGATATTAGAATCCATGCAACTTGTTTATTCTATCCAAATAATGCTAATAAAAATGTAATAGTTTGATCTGAAATTCTAGTCTTAACCTAAACTCTAGTTTTAAATTATTTCCCAAGGAAATAAGAGGGAAATTCAATTGAACGACTAATGTTGTGTTGATGCCATAAAAAATAAGTTGGGTAATAATGATTGTGGCATCTTATAAAGGAATGTTTGTGTTGATTCTTTCTGTAACTGTTATGATCACATATTTAAAAAAATGTGGTAAGTTAATTAATGCGATAATGATTTGATACAATTTAATATAGTTTATTTAGATAAAAACTTTGCTTAGAAGGATGTTAGCTTCTATCCTTTATGTCAAGAATGCTCGAGTTTTAGTCAATCCAATTTCGTTTAGTAGGATAACCAGTGATTGGTCTGAATTATATATGGTCAGAAAGAGTCGTTGTGACTGTTCATGTGTTCTGCAGTTCTTCATGACCAAGCCTTATGCTTGTGATCCTTCCAGCCTTCCAAAATACCCTCCTTGCAAGGAAATGGATGCTAAGCTACGGGATGAAGAAGCTAGAAGGTACATGATATTTAATATCATTAAATTCTGATTCACATTCTAAGCCAATTTGAACATTGGTTTTGTTTCAAAATTTCATTTGGCATAAATCTATTTTACTCCGCATATGTTCATGAATCTGATAGCTCTTCCCCACCTTTCTCTTTGTAACTGAGACGAGATGAGCTTCATGGTTGTAGATTGCGAGCTGGGGGAAGAGCTAATGCAGATGAAGTGAAGAAAGCTCGTGCATGGGATCGAGCTGAGCGGCCAATTCCTGCTCCAGATGCAAAATGCTGAGCTTCAAGCTAACCTTGATGTATGTCATAGATCCACTCTATTCCCTCTAGACCTTGTACTTTTATGATATTTTGTACTAGAGATGGTGCTGAAACAAAGGACCGATTACTGATTTAGTGGAATTGTTTGGTTGAAACAGAGACGACGATTAATAATACACGCGAATGCGAAGAGCAAGAGCGAGAAATTTCCACCTCCACACCAGGATGGAAGTCTTGGTTATCCTCTGGGGTCTGCACATTGTTTTTTTTTTTTTTTTTTTGAATTGTGAGAAGCTTATCTAATGTTGTATATCTGTTATTGGAAAACTCCAATTAGATGTAGTGTTTCTTCTTTATAAAAAAATAAATAAATTTCCCTTCTTTATATATAATGTTTCTCAAGGCTTTCTTGGGTAGAAGTTACTATTTTCTGTGTGCTCAAAACTTGTGTTTTCTTTTTCATGAAGTTTAATTTATTATTATGGATTTCAAGTTTTTGTTATGGATTTCAAGTTTGTTGTTATGGATGTCAAGTTTATTAGATAATGCTACAAGTTAAATTTGGGTAACAAAAGAGTAGAAAATAACATTTGCAAATAGGTCTGTAAATGAACTGAACGTTCAGCGAACCGTTCATAAACTGTGCTGCGGGAAGTTTGTTTATGTGCGTTTATTTATTAAATGAACGAACATGAACAAGATTTTGCGTTCGTTTAATTAAATGAACAAACATGAACAAAGGGCTCGTTCCTTCATTCACGTTCGTGAACGTTCGATTATATGTTCATTCATTTATGTTCATTCATTTATGTTCGTCCATTTATGTTCGAACAAAGGGTAAGTTGAATATGTTACAAAGATTATTGAAGTTCTTTGGATTTCAAGAAAATTGTTTTGTTGAATAAATTAACTTTAAGACTTTATTATGTTCATATAGCTTATTTATGATTTATGTATGTTTTTGTCGTATTCGTACAAATTAACTCTAAAGTTGCAGGTTATATTAATGAATTTTAAATTTTTATTCTTGTTGTTTACTTTTTTTTGCATTCGTTTGTTGTGTTCGAATAAGTTTTTTTTTTGTTTGTGTTGTTCGTTTATGTTCATTTATTGTGTTCGTTTATGTTCGTTCGTTCGTGTTCGTTTATTTATTAAATGAACGAACATGAACAAGATATATTTCTTAATGAACGAACATGAACAAAAAAAATTTTGTTCGTTTATGTTCGTGTTCGTTTATGTTCGTTTATTTATTAAATGAAAGAATATTAACATACCACCGTTCGTGTGCGTTCGGTTCGTTTACAGGCCTATTTGCAAAACTAGTTTTGATTTGCGGCGTTTATATAAAAAAATGCCACTAAATACATAGTCAATACCGGCATTTTTCGTTCTAGATCTTTTGCAGCGTTTTTACAGAAAACGCCACTATATACGTAGTCAATAGTAGCGTTTTACATTCACAAACGTCACTATATGTCAAAACATTTAGCGGTGCTTTTGGGACAAAAAGCCATAAAAGAAAAGATAAATTGCGGTGTTTGCAAAAAAAGTCACCAAAAACATAGCCTTCAGTGGCGCTTTTTGCGGCATTTGTTTTTGCGCCACAAAGGTTTTTAGCGGCGCTTAAAAATGCCGCTATACGTATAACTTTAGAAGAGGTCGAATGCAAAGCCATGAGGTGGGAAATTGATTGGAATATTATTTTATACATTCCGGTAGTAAGTAAAAGGGAAATGCCTGGACCAACCTGTAATACAAAATTCATCGGATGCTACAAACTCAAGCGCAAGGTTTTTTTCTCTATTAATGCATCTTCAATTTCATATGCTAATTAGAATATGATTTTGCATGCAGGTTAGGAAACATATGACATCCAATGATCACTGTAAAATTGATGAAGATGTTTGGAAGAATTCTACGGTTATAACATTCTGCAGGTATGCATTCTTTTTAAATTTTTAACCCCCAATAATTCTTCTTCATCCATAATCATCTTATCTTTTAAGTTGCCATTGCTTATTATCATTTGAAAACAGCTATGTGGATGATAGTAGCAATAAATATATACACATATTCTAAATGAAGTAATTTTCGCAACAGAATGAACGTAACAACATGAAATTAAGTTTTACACGATACAGGCATAACAAGCTCCAAAGGTGTTTTTACATGTTCAAGAAATTAAAACTGTCTGCAGCAGCAATTACCAAACTGCTCACCACTTGCACAGGATCAATCCTCAGCTTCACTTGTTCAATATGTATCTGCTATAAAAATTTGAGCCAAAGAATGGTTAAAATTCACACAACCCTTTAAGCAAAGCCATAGGGTTGTCACAAAACCAGTGAAAATTTAAGGTAAGCTCATCAACAGTTTGCTTTGTAAAGGGAAGAAAGAGAGATAAACGGTACATACCTAATTATCAAAAAAGCGGGATCGACATCTTCGATAACTGTGCAAACCATGAACAAAAAATGGATAAATTTTGAGGGAAAGCAAGGTCATGAAACTAGTAATTGGATTCATGTTTATTCTAATAAACATGTTGGGATTTGCGGAAGCTCGAATCGACAACCGAAAGGGTTCGCCAAAAGGGGTCAGGTCGGAGATTGAAAGATAGAAAATTGCACAGTGATTTATAGTGGTTCAACTTCTCAACCAAATCTACATCCACTACCTTAGCTCATCACCAAGGATTTTCCAACAAATTCACTAATTTGTTCTCTCTTTTTTACAGGAAAAAGAGATAACTTTTACAAACTCCCTAGTTTTTCACGGGCTAAACTAGAACTTTTCCCTAGCTTTTAACAGGCTAAGCTAGAACCAAAACCCCTTTATAATGAAAGAAAATGTAAACAAGAAAACCAATCTAAGGTAGGTGTTTACAATAATTAAGCTCACAAGAACAAAATATTTACAAGAGAAATATGAAATAAGATTGAAAAACTCTTCTTTTGTGTTTGATTGCTTGAATAGTTGTTCTCTATATTCTTCAAGTGTCCTCGGCTTGTTTCTATAGCTTGAAATGAGTTTGAAGTCGTATATAACCGTTGGGGATGTTTTGGAGCCGTTGGGGATTCATTTTCTGCAAAATAAAACGTCCCAGAACAAGTAGTATCGGTACTCCTTCAATGAGTATCGATACTACCTTTGTAATAATTGAATTTTTTACTGTTGAGCTTGATTCTACTGTAGCAGTATCAATACTATTGTATCAGTATCGATACTCATTTTGCATTCGATGTTTTTAATATTGGTATTGTTCATTACTGTTCACACAGTATCGGTACTATGCATACAGTATATGTACTATTCATACAGTATGGTACTATTCATATAATATGGTACTATTCATAAAAAAATTATTCTCAATTCCAACTTAAATGGACTTTGAATTATTTTTGAAAACTTTGAATAAATTCAATTCAAGTCTAAAATCATTTTTCCATAAATTGTTATATTAAAATATAGTTCAACATTCTCCTCCTTTTTGAAATAAAAAAACATTTGAAAAATTATTTTTGGCAAAACTCCCCTTAATAAAATATTTAATGAAAAAGATATCAATTGTTGAAAAATATATGAAAATGTTAAGCTCCCAATTTTTCATTAAGAAATTGAATTTTTTCAAACCATACTTCTCCCCCTTTTTGTTATATCAAAAATAATTCAATCTTTAAAGCTCTAAAACAACATTGGAGAGTAAGTGGTAATTTAACATTAAAAACATTTGAAAAATCAAAGCTCCCCCTCAATAAGTGCATTCCAAACAAAAATTAGCTTTAAAATATTGACACTTAAACAAAATTGAATTTAAACAAAGAATAACAAACATGTTAGTAGCACATGAAATTCAATGTATCCAAGTCTAAAATAATTTATGCAATAACAATTGTTGAAATTAAGTGCATATGCATAAAGTTTTCCAAAAATGTTATGCATTTGAAAATTTTGATATCAATTGTTACAGATATATATTTTTCATTTAAAACACATGCATAATCATTTAAATTTAGGTCAAAAATTTAAAATTTGTAAAATCAAAGTATTTAAAAAAGTTGATATCAATTGTTAGAGAAATATCATTAGCATTGAAAATCAATTTTGACCAAAATTCATTATGATGAACTAAAAATTATGAAAAATCATTAAAATCTTAAAATGTTCATCACAATTTCCTCTTAACGTACATGAGATTAAAAAAAAATATAATTATTAAAAATCAAAACTCATGCATGCTTAAACCAAAATGAGCAACCAAATATACAAAATTAAAAAGCTTTTAAGCTTAGAGATTACCCATTCCTTTTCAAGTGTGGCTAGAGCATCTCGATATCTTCATTTTCATCACCATTGCTCCCACACACCTACAAGAGACATTTATTTCGATTTTGGTATCCAAATTACTTTGGATCCTTTGACGTTAGTTTCAATGTCCCTTGTTCCCTTAGGAACACATACTTGTCTAATTTTAAAACGTTTTCCTTTCTTCAAAAGACAAGTGTAACATCCTCAATATCGGGTTACTGATCAAATTGTAAAGTTTCAGAATTTGGTGACTAGAGTAGAAAAATGGATTAGTTCAATGATTTATTTGGAAATAAATCATAAAAGTTGTTAGTAATTATTAGATTAAGTAAAGGGCAAAATGGTCATTTTAAATGAAAGATTTTTTATTTTCCCTTATAAGATAAGGAAACCACGTGGGAAGAGGGAAAAGAAGTTCCAGAGTTCTCTTCATCTTTCTTCTTCCTTCACGCGTGAAAACCAAGAGCCAAAGGTGAGTTTTTATTATTATTGGGTTTTTGGTTAAATTTAAGATTGGTTTTTGATTATTAGATGATAACTAAGCTTAAGGAAAGCTTAATTTATCTTAAAATCAAAGTATGATGGAGTTAGGAGGGATTAAAGATTTGAGGTTCTTAGAAGAAATCTTGAAATAGAGTTCATAACTTGAATTGGAAGTTAAATTTGACTTGTCATCAATCTAATTAAGAGATATAAAGTAATAAAATTGGATTTGGAACATCTTAGAAATTGAGTATGATTCTTGAATTTCATAAGGAGGATAAGATTTTGAAGTTAAAGATGGCTTATATGGATATAAATTGGTTTAAGCATGTGTATATGAATTAAGAACATGAAAGGGGATGAAAGATGAAATATTTGAGTTTATTTGAGTGGATTTTCGGGCTTAAAAATGAATTCTGGGTTATGTGCATCGATGCATCAAGGGTAATTTCCAGAAATTGTTCAG